CCTACCTACATCTTTAGGGGGATAGATTCGCCCTTGCTCTCTGTTGATTTCCCGTGGCTTGATGTTCTCTTTGAACGTGACCATTGGTTTTTCTCCTGCATCACAGTTGTTGCTCAGACTTCTGCCAGAGGACAGAACTGATTTGAGTCCAGGGCTCCCATCTGTAGATAGTGGCTCTGCAATAGATGTTTCCTGCAAGGCGAGACTCTCTTTGGCTTCACTAGGGTCCTCTAGTAATAATTCTGGGATTTCCGTCAAAAACAACAGCTTTCCTACCTCATTTTCACACTGAATCAACCTGAAAAAGACAGAACGGAATTGAAAAGCAAGTAGGAATAGTTTTTCACAGGGTAACCCACTTCCCCAAATTATAAAAGCAGAAAGTCAACATACAGCAGCAACTGAAACACACAGATGCTACTTGCAATTACCTCGGCTGGTTATCAGCAATCCATTTGCCTGTGAATATCAGACGCTGTTGCCGTATCCGACGTTGTTGCCCTTCCTTATCTCCTGTAATTGCCTGGTGGCCTTTGGAAAAATCCAAGTTCCTAGTATTGACATAGGAGAGGGAATAATATTAATTATAGAATCATCCTCTGCAACATCATATTTCTTTAGAAATACAACTGGTCAGCTCTATTATAAGCTGTGAAATTTCATCAGATCTTATTCAAAACATGACTCTTACAGATGTCTGATTTACAGATGCAACTCTTCTGGTAAGACGCAGCCACATTAAAGAGGTTGTGGGTTTTGTTGTTTTTTTTGTTTTTTTTTTTGGGGGGGGGTGGTGGTGTTTGTTTTGTTTTTTTTTTAAACAAAAGGCCAAAGTTTATCTGTGTGATAATCAAAATCACAAAAACAATAGTTGAATGAATACGTCTAATATTTAGTCAGCATTTGTGCATGATGTCAGGTACATGGACACAGTTAAAAATAGAGTAAAAAATCAGCGAAGTAAAAACATCAAGCAGTTTTCATGTAAAAGTATTCCTTTCCTCACTTCTTACATTTTTCCCTTTCAATTTACTAGTCCGAAGACTACAAAAGAAAAACAAAAGTCATGAGTGATATTATAAGCTCATGACTTTTCCCAGAGTTTTACTACATAGTCTATTACAGTTGTTTTGCAAAGATACCTACATCAATCCATACATTAGTAAGTACTCATAAATAAGATATTGTAGGGAACAGGTCAACGTCTATCAAAGTAGTGACATCAGCAAGAGTACAGTTTCCTTCAGCTGTCACCCACCTGAACGATGGCCTCAGAGCCAAGAATCCTTGCAACTCAAATTCTTCTGGAAGGGGGGTTGCTGGTGAATAGACAGTAAACAGAGTAACGAAAGCATGAAAGCATTGAGTACAGTATCGTAAGTAGATAACTCAGCAAGGTCACTATACATAATATAGCGTTTTATTAACATGCTCATCTGTACTGGTCCACCCTGCAATCTGAGGAGCTCAGGAATGATAAAGTAGAGCAAAGTCTGCTCAGCACGAGAAAGCAGCATTTGTAAAGTATTCATATGCACTAATAAGACAACTTGCTCCCTTATTTGCTCTTCAACTGCAAGTCCCCACAACATCAGGAAAAATGTGCATCGTTCCCAGTTCTTTATAGCACAAACTAAAAGCATCCTTACCATTATTATTGGATAGATCTTCTTCATGAGGCTGGAAGCTGTTTAGAAGAGAAATCAGCCAGGGCCATATGCTACAAACCAGAAAACAGACAAACTATAAGTGAAAACTACAAAACATAGAATCTACCTGCCTTACTAAGAAAACATTAAACTGTTACAGTCACAGCTACCATTAATCCTTTGATTCCCAAGAAAAGTTAAAGTTTCTCCCATGTGTCAGGGAAAAGATCACTTTCTCAAAGAACTTAAAGTTTTTAAAAAAGTCAGTCTAAAGTTACCAAGGAAGCCAGACTCTCGCAGCACTATGTTCATTATCCAGCAAGTCAGAAAGCCTACTATGAATTTAACTAGGCAAAACTATTGCATGAGCAAAAGTTCAGAGCACTCGTTTACAATCCAAGTTTTCCAGTCCAAGGCTGACTGCTCTCAAAGCACAGTAAATTAATCAGTTGGGAAGCAAAACAATTTATCAAGATACAGCTGTGCAGAAGTACTTCTGTTCTGTGAACATGAACACTGTACTGTAGCACTGAAACAGTTACCAGAACGGTAAGAAGGTCTAAGTAAGGGTTGCACTAAGTAAGACCATTAAACTAGAGGTTAACTGGCAGTCTCCCTGCCTTGCACTGGCAATACCTGTGCAAGCAGTGACTGGAAATTCTTTACAAAGGCCCTGGAGCAAATAACTTAAAAATCGCAACAATCACCACATAGGTGGTTAACATTTAACTGCCACCAAGAGGCTGCTTTCTCCTATTTTTTAAAAGCTTTAACCCAAAAGTCTAAGCATCCTTCTCCTGCTTTAGTCATGTGCATCAAGTCCATCGAGGCAACAGAAAACTATTTTAAGAAGGTGCCCACTGTGCTCAGTTGTTAGCGAAATGAATCTCCATCCTCCCTCAGCAAGGCTTCAGCCATCATCCAGCACCTGGATTAGAAAATGCAACGTGCACCCAAAAGCCTGAGGTCAGCCACTTCCCTGCACCGCTGCAGGGACTGGAAACATTATGTTTATGCTTATTCTCTACACTAAACTAAGCAATACCTCCTTCCCATGACTGACAAGGAACAGAAGGAGGAAAAAAGGGAGAGTGAAAGTCTGTTGCAACCTACAGTAAACTGCAATCTTCCTGTACAATATTTGAAATAATGAGATTTCATAATAAGAGATCTCTAAAGAAGAGTGATGTAGTGACACATGTAAAAGTCTAGACCTAATGTGACTTCCACAGGGCAGGTTTGGAAAACTCGTTCCCAAAGAGCACACACTAGTACTGTAGTACTAGTAGTCATTTCTGTCCTCAGTTGCTGCCTTCAGATTCATCTACTTTTCTAGGGAAGCATGTTTCCTTCCTATTTCAGATGCTCATTCAGTTTGGGGTAGGATTAATTATCCACAGGAGAATGGTAAGCATAGAGTGGGGAAAACTGAAAGTTTAAAAAGGAATATGGATTATTTCTTGAACCAAGAGCACCATTAAGTATGAATTCAGAGTAAGGAAGACTTTTCAATATAAAACAGACATCAGGTTATTAAACAGAGGCTAATAAAGGCATGTGTGTGTTTGTTTAGTCTGCAAAGAATTATTTTCATTAGGATCTTCCAATAGAAATAAAAAGAAAACTCTCATCCTTATCAATAATGGGAAAGATGGACAGTCACCTCCACTTTTTAGAGCCAACAACTATAATGGCTACTAATGCCCAGTTTGACAACTCTTAGCAGTCCTTAACTTTCTTTTCATCTGTGCATTTTACAGCTGTTTGCTGCCCACTTCACAACTCTTTTGTACGATGAGTACCTGAGAACACCATGTTATCACACCACAGATTTAAAAAACAGGCATGTTCTTTAAAGAGACCCTGATCGTTTTATGGGCAGAAGGATCTGCTCTGGCTAATTCAAAATATACATTCACACCTGAAGATTCATTTTGATACTCCACAAAGTACTGCCTGCATCTCCTCTCTGCAAGGACTACCTCATATCAAGTAGTAATCTTCCCTATTAAAATACTGGTATAAAGTCTTCCTTCAGAATATGCATACAGTCATACTTATTACCACCTCAAAACAACTTGTGAACTCTTATTTTCCTTAATCTTGCCTTCAGGAACTCTGGAATTGAAGCTCCCACAGCTCCAGGGCTTTAGGTTTTGCACACATTTGAGCGAATCTTATTACTCATTTAGCAAACCAAGGTTAGAGGGACCCTTGCTCCCCATACACCAATGTACAGAAAATGCGAGCCTTGGCTAGAGTCGCACCTTACAGCACACACTGCCAAGACAGAGCCGAAACCACTGTGGGGGAACATTGCACAAGAGCAGCTAAGCAGCTGGTTTCACACTGTTTTCCTTATAGTGGCCATCCTAGGCAAAATACTCATCCAACTGTGTCAGTAACAATCACTCCAACCCAAAGAAACATCTTACAGGTCAGAAACGCTTTACTGAATTGCTATAATTCATGAAAAGTTAACAGGCTATAAAAAAAGTTGGCGAGTTTTGAACTATTTAAGCCTAAATTAATAAGATTAGAGGCAGAAGTGAAAAATCAGAGTAACAGTCCAGAACAGTAATGCCTGTGCTGACGTTTAAAGACCCCTTCTACTTAATTCAATTTAATTCCTGGATGATGAGCCAAGAAAACTGGATTCCAGCACTGCCCAAGAGATGGCTCAATGCATGAAATTAAGGCAAGTATTCTCCTGCCACCTACCTCAAGAAATCTGAGAAATCATTACAACAGATTAGACTAAGGGTACACTCAGTAGTTATGCTCAAGTCAAACATTATAAAGTAGATCCCTCTGATCTTAAAAAAAAAAGTTACATGCAAACCTAAAGCCAAATAAAACAGTGAATTTGCTCATGTAGCCCACCAGTCTCATGTTTTGTTTTATGAACTTTTTAGCGCATCCATACTCTATCATTTTGATGCCTGTAATAATGACTTATAGATCACTTTTCCCATTACTAATTTGTGCATCATCAGTTATTACTACTTTATGCAATTAAATGTATCAAAAGAAAGATTAACACTCACTACCGTCTTTCATCAACCACTGCCTCCTGGAAAACACTGGGCCTAAGTTTCAGCCAGTCCATTGAAACCTTCACAGCTGGAAGAGGATATGCAGCCCCAGAGTCCTCCTGGTAGTCATTTTGTAAAGGACACTTGCACAGAACTCCAAGAAAGGACACTAGAAACAGAGCAGGGAAAAAAAACAAAAACAAAAACAAGAAAACAAAACACACACCACAAACAATGCAGGAATGACACTTTAAAGTTGACCAAATAACCTAATCAAACACATCCCACACATAAAACCCTATTCTTAAGAGCTAGCTCTTTAGGACAAAGCAGCCCAATTAGTTAATCTGAAAAAACCCACTAGCAGATCAGAACATCTTTTTTCAATAAAGAGTTTTCTACCATGAAGCAGAATCTTGGTGTTTTTTTCTCCCCTCCCCTTTTTAAGGGTCATGGCAAATCATTTTGGTAAGTTAACAAAATCCGGTGAGACAAGCCCATTAGAAAATTATTCATTCATTTATTTATTAGAAATGATCAACTCAACTATCTATCTGCATTTTATCCACTTTCCCGGGTCAGCAGGCACACAAATCCACCGGAGCTAGCTCTGCAGGCAGGCACCCAGCTGAGACCCACCAAGGCACACAGAAACAGTAACCACACCAGCGTGGCCATAGTGCTTTCAGAATAAACTCCAGGCTGGAATCTGGAGAAATTCAGAAATTTAGGCATTTACAAACAAGCCCAAGCTGATCATGGGCCAGATCAGGTTAAGCGAATCAGCGTTATGCAGCTAGAGTCTAAAATGCTCTGCACTCCCACTTATCTCCTAGTCAATATCATCAAGAGCACAGAAGCAGCTGAGGTCCTCGTTCAGTCAGCTTCAGCCCTGCTGAATCACAACTAGCTCCATTCAAAGCAACTCAAACCACATTGCAGCCAACTGCAGAGCAGCCCCCCAAGAGGGGTACTACCCACCACCAAGTTGGATCCAATTTTGCATCCAAGTTAAAATGTTCTTTCGGAACCAGGAAAAAGATGCAGAGTTCTGTAAGGCTTCAAACGGAGTAATTCCGGGGCACATAAATCCAGTGTCAGTCAGCACAGCGAGACTTACACGATCCTGCACAATCATCTTTTCTCTTAACTTTCTCCCATAACATCTATTCTCATCACTTACCTCACACAACCATTAAGCTAGATATGGACAGCAAATTACTAATGGATTCCATATAAAAATTAAAGAGAAATACAAAAGTCAATTAGTTTTCATACTTACTGAAGAGAGCCAGTAACTGTGTCCAGCAGAGCTGCTCATCCTGGCTGTAGCTATGCTGCTCCGTTTCATTGCTGAAATCTCGCAGGTGATGTAGTTGAAACAGATTGATAACAGTAATATGTACTAACTGCTGAGAATTGAAGGCCTTTTGGAATAACAACCTCTGTAACAAAAGACGCACATACGATGTATGTATTTTCATATGGTAAAGCACACACTTGAAAGGATTCGTAGTTGCAGTATACTTCACTGCTTGATTAATGCTTCTGCCCTTAAGACAACATTCATTCTAGATTTTATTTTCAGGTCATCCCTATTAGAACAGCACTGGGCTTCCCAGGAGGACATGGGCAGATGCATGCCCACTGTTAAGTCCAAGGTTTTTGCTCGTACACCAACTCATATGCACAACAAATCAACGTCCTCTTGGACATGGTTCTCTTTCAGAGCAAGTGCAACTTTAATGTGCAATGACAGCATTGCAATGCAACTGGAAGAAGTGCAGAGGCATGTATACCCACTGTATTTTTCAGTCTTTCGAAGAAACAGCACAGAGAAGGTGACATTTTAAAAAAATACCCCAGGAAAATTTAACTACTCTTTGGTTACGTATTAAAGACTAATTCCACATCTGACTTCATGGGTCATGGAACGCCAGAGTAGACCATAATAGCACGAGCTATTTACAAATGCATTTCAGTAACTATGCTGCAAAACACACCTTTTTCAGAACAGGAAAAGAAACTTTAATGCTTTTTTTAGCATTGTGAAAAAAAGGAGATATCCTAAACCACAACCAACTTATCTTCAGACACAACAGTCAGGGAGGCAAGTGGATTAACCAGCGTGAGCATCAGGAAAAGGTTTGAGCTCCATGTTCAACCTTCATTTTTAGTTGAGGGCATAAAGCACGCTACAGCCAACAACTCAAACTGGCAGAGCTGTCAGCAGCAGAATCGTGGGCCTGGCTGAAGACTCCTAACCCTGTGACTGCTCTCCTCATTCAGAGTTAAAATCAGCCACAAAGTTAAAGTTATTATCCCCCATACAGCCAATTTCACATCCACATTCAACCCATTTAAGTCAGAAGAATTGCCCTCTAGTAAATTAAGCCTTATGTTGCATAATATAAACAAAAAAGTAATCTACGCAACAAAGCAGGGCTCAATTAGCTCTATTTTAACACCCTGGATCAGTTCAGAAAAATAAGACTGTTCCACATGCCTGAGCAGTGCTCATAATTATTGATTATAAGCACTGTGGAAAAAGCAGTACTTGTTCAACAGCCAACATGACACTAAAAGAGAGATACAATTATTTAATTTTAAAACAACATTAACTCCCAGTGTTCAAGCAGCTCATATTCAAAGCTAATACAATTCACAAGTTTTGCGCTTTTTAAAATTTATTTTAAACACAATTTGGACCTAGCTGTAGCAGCCCAATTCAATGCAAAAATGCAAAAAGACACTGTAAAGAACATTTGTAATTCTTTATATTGCTAAGACCATCTTCCCCTTTCTTACTTTGGAACAGCATCAACTGCTTTGTTGAACTTATCCATAGTACCTGCTCATTTTCCACAAATGAAGAAGCTGAAGCAGAGCAGTTTCCAAAAGGCACAGTTAATACGATGTCCTCTTTGAAATTGTACTACCTTGTACCTTACAAAATTCTTTGTTTCAATCTTTGCTATATTGTCCAGCTTAATGAGATGACTATATGATTAATGGGTACTCCTGGATTTTCCAGAGGAAACGTGTTCAGAATAGTTCTAGTCTACACACAAATTAAGGTTGTACTGGAACACTTTTTAAAGGAAAGCCACTGACAGGAGAGGCAAGTTGCCTGAGGAAGATTAAAAGCAGCCTTAACTGGTGGGACTGAATTAATGCCATCCAAAAATGAAGCTCTCAAAATTCCTCAGGCAACTGAGCCAAGACTTCCCAGATGAATCAAGTGCTTTTCACAGGTATCCAAGAATCATCCAGGTTAAAGAGCAGAGAATCAACGGTGGTCATTGATTTCTCCTCTATCTCCACCAATAACGCTCCATGTCAAATGGGAAAAATCCCTACTATTTGCAGAAGTCAACAGAACTATCCAGCGTTAGCTGTGATGCAAACCTTCCATAACTGGCTACTTGAGCTTCCCGTATTTTAGCATGTGAGAAAGTTATTACTGGACTGTAATTTCAGAACTCAGCTGCTAAAAATACTCTCCTCAATACGCTAATTAATATGTTGTTAGAACTAACCTTGAACTGTTCTTCCAGCTTTTCTCGAAGAGGGCTCAGTTTCTCCAAGCTCTTGCTCAGGTACACGTGGCCATGGAATTTAATAAATGCCTTGATGAAGTCAGACACGCTCCATCGAGTCTTCACCTCATCACGACTACATTCAGAACAGAAATATCCGTCTTCAGTCTTTGGAATTAGACACAGCTGCATGTAACATTACATACTTTTTCTGTGAAGTTCAAGAAAGGAGGAATGCCCATGCAAAGCTACTTTTTCACGCTGGCACAATATGCTTATTTCCTGCATTCACTATTCACACTCAGGAGCATGCCGGACACAAACTATTCTTTGTTCCATACATATGTTAGGATGCTCTGACTGGATGGGGGCCGAGGAACTTCTGTTTCTACTACCAAATATGAGTAACTTCTGGCAAGGGAGGTACATTTGGAGGAAGTCTCCTCCGTCTTATCTGAGCAGAAATACATTATGCTTAGTCTTACCTTTCCAGTGCTTTAGAAAGTGCTTTTTGTAGGTTAGTGGAGGCAGCTGGGAAAGGAAACTTCACAGCAATGCTTCTGCAGTAGTAGAAAATTGTGGTCAAGTGGTCTCCTTTGGAGGAAGCTAGAATAGCCAACTGATTATAAGGCTGACCTAAGGGAAAAAAAGACAAGTAGTCATGGACTGAAGCGTGCTAGATTTCAGCCTAAGTATAGTCACCTTAAAAGGGAGCACGAAGTCCTAAAATCTTCAGCATACAAGATCCAGATTCATCTGCTGACCTTTTTACTCCAGCCTCATTATCAGTACCCCTCAAATGAAAAAGCTTCCAAACCTGCAGTACATTTTCTTGTTCATTGGTGGTGGGGTTTTTTGGTGTTTTTTTTTTCTTTTTTTTAACACATGATTTAAAATTGGACAATAAATATGGTGTAAAAAGCTAGATACACGAACTAAAGAAGCTCTTAACTTGCATGAGCAACTTGAAAAGTCCAATTTTAGCTACTAAACTTTACAAACTGGCATGTGAACAAGCAATAAAAGAAAAAATGCTGCTGGTAGGCCAGTTTTCATTAGTTGTACTTTGTAACACATGAATGCAATACAGTATAATGTAGCAGTAGTGAAGCCTTGGAGTGAAGCTGCGCATTAACTTCTTTTTTTTAAATCTTCACAAAAAGGAGACAAGTGACACAGATCAGGCAAACAGCTACTATCTAAATGATTTACCAACGGGCCAGGCTTTGTTGCGTGATTGTTTTGGGTATTTGGGGAGGAAGTTTTATATAAAATCCCAAGTTTCCAACTGCCACACAAGAAAACCAATACCCCAAATCTTCTTTCGAATTACAAATCTAAAAGGTATCCCAGACTCACCATTAGAAGGGACAAGCTGAGCTGCATGTCTGTAGTAAGACTCTGCCTGGCTGGTCTGATTCCTATAGCGAGCTAAGAAGAAAACAAAAAACCGAAGTTGAGACAAAAAATTCAATTCTCCCACACTTACTTTAATACAACCCAGTTTACCTGAAGAGCATTTTACTACTATTTTAGAAATAAGCATCAAAAGAACACACAAGTACACCAAGCAGCATGAAGATTCAAAAGGTTGAATTTTAAGGTGGTGGTTTTTCCTCAAATCCTATTGTCACAGCTTACCAGTTCTTATTTAGAAAGATGTTGTGCCAACAGCATCACATCCAGACAGCTAGAAATATTTTTCATACTTCTTTGCACAATCAGCAACTAGATCTACTTTTAGGTTTTTTACAAAAGCAATTGCAGATTCCTGTGAGAAGAGAACTTTCTAGAACACATAGTTCTACTCCAATCAACAAAGAAATAAACCTGTTGAATTTAATGTAGAAGAGAAACGTTGTTTATGAAAGGCTGGATTTCTAACTGTTGCCTTTGCATACAAGATTTAAAAGTTCTGAGATGGAGAAGTATGCTAGCTTGCTGCAACAAGCTTTTGTAATAGTTACCGGTTTCAACATTTCACTATGCCTACCAGCTATAACATGATTAGTATGCTAGAAGACAGATTCTAGCAAATCACTAGAAAGCTAGTGATTAACTGTCTCCATGCGTTAATGTGTAACACACATTAGAAAAGTCTAACAGCAATCCTTTCCAGACCTCTCCCCCTGCAGCAACCACCAAGCATACAATCAGCTACTAGCTACTAATTTGGAGCACACTTGGTCAGTTGCCCAGGGTACGTACAGATCTTTCCTTCATGAGGGCTGAACACAGGTAGAACTCAGCGTCCCACCTCTTTTTCCTTCAAAAACTCACCAATATCTCCAAGGTGGACAAGGCAGTGCTGGCAGATGTAAGAGCAGGAGCTAGATTGCGGCTTCACTATGGCGCTGGTGTGCGTCTGTTTATTGCTAATGATTCCCAGCTGGGAAGACTTTACACGACATGGCAAGTCTACATTAAAAACTGTGCACAATTCCTGTAATAACTAGAAAAACAAGTCTAGTTTAGTAGCAGCTAGAGACAGTAATCAGAAAAGTACTGAAAAAACAGACAAAACTAGCAGGTCATCACTTGGAGGCACGGATCAGCTAAACATATTTGAAATGAACAAGCACAGGTTACTGAAAGTGAGACTTTAAATTACATTCTCCATATGGGAGTCATTGAGCTCCATGCTGCATTATTCTGCCCAGAACCATGAAGAGAAGTTTTACTTCTCTTCTGTAAGAAAGAGCTGTGCATCCCAAACCACTAAGCAACTCAATTGCCACGATACTTCAGTTACTAAGTATGCATCAGTGGAGATTGACTATCAGAGGTCTTGCTGCCCTGTTTTTGGTTTTTTTGTGGGTTTTTTTGTTGTTTTTTGTTGTTTTTTTTTTTTAACAGACCACTCTTAAGAAGAGCAGAATCTTTTTTTATACCTAGATGAAGTGACAACATTCTCTGAAAATAAGAAAAAGGAATGCCACTCATCCTCTGAGGAAGCTTTTTCCAACATAAGAAACAGCAGTACCCTGGCTTAGACTTTAGAGAGAAGCCAGAACAAAACCAAGTCTGTAGGCAATGCAAGGAAATAGCATCCAACAGTTCAGTGGCTGAGTTGCAGTAAATATTTGTGCTAAGCTAACAGTGAGACTCTTTCAAAGAACAAGGCATCAGCTACTTCATCAAATATCTCAAAAGCTGATTGAAGGAAAATTTCGCCATTCTAATTACTGCTTTTGAAGTTTTTCCTAATGGACTCCAGCAAATACTCTGGAAAGTAACAGTAACCATGTAGTGATGAAAAGTGGTTGTTCTACTGTGTTCAGGGTTAAAAATGCAAGTAAGAATTGACAGACTTTCTCCCAGCTGGGAACATACTCAGTCTCCAAATAAAACAGACCTGCAGCAGGGTTCCACTTCCAGATAAAGGCACATAGAAAGCCCAGGGCTGACAGAGATGCACACTCTGTCAACACCTAAACATGCAATGCGGTGCTTTTGCTTGCTGCAGAAAAAGGTTTGTGTTACGCCTCCCTCCCCCTTTTGCTCTGTCTTTTATACAGTAGATAAAGATCCTCAAACAAGAGGGATCTCGCAGGTGAAAGCTGGATAAAAGAGAAAAACTTGACATCTTCCAACATGCGGAATTAGGAGAATTCATGCTCTCTTTCAAAGATGTCATTTACACAGGCCTCACAGTTAGAGAGCAGGTATCTTGCCTGAGCAAAATCTTTATAGACTAAAAATGGGACAATTAACATCACAGCAAACAGAAGGACAACCCCGTCTGAGGTGTCATACACAAGAGCAGCAAAATTCCCTGGATACACTGCAGGGAAGAACAAGGCTTTTGCAAGACAAACTGTGTAGATTGTAGAAAACCCTTGGCAACCATACCACTGGCTGCTTCAAACAAGAAGCTTTCCAAAAAACAATGCCCAAGGGAAGAAGCGGGGGGAGATAATCACACAGATTCTGGAAAAAACCTGAGATTGCCTTGCAAATGCTCAGAATCAAACCAGGAACCGATAAAGTAAGAATGACCTACTGTGCATGTTGTAACCTGAAGACAGTGCAAACTAGCCACAACAGAAAGTCTAGTCAGACCACTACTTGAGATAGAGGATTCAGCAGCGACCATGTTGCTGAAGCACACAGCAAATGAGGGGAAAAGAGGGAAGAAAGGCAAGTTAACTTTAAGGCCATTATCACACACTGACTCTTATTCTCCATAATCTGTAAGCTGAAATCTAACATTGCAAAGAGAGTATGGGCAAAACACTGGCAGCAAGGAATAAATACAGGAATCGCACTCCTTTTGCAATTAACTGAAAGTCTCACAAAAGATACTTAGCTCAAGAGCACTCACCAATACGGCTTTGCTTAAGGGGAAGAAAACCTCCTGTAACTGAAGTTAGCAATTCTAAATAATTGTTGACAATAATGTAGAATTAAGACTGAAGATGTGCTTGTAAGCCTGGGAGTCTTGATCAAAAAAACAGCAAGGCATTATGTGTTGCAAATGCTACATAATACTCTTGGGGACAACCACCCTACTTAAACGCACAACCGTGGTGGGCACTAAGTTAGGTATTATTCAGAAAAAGCATGTATTCAAATATGTATGTAGTATGTACATAGATTAACTCAATGCTCACCATCAGTGTTAGGAGTTACAAGAAAGAGACGCAGAACAAAGCACAAAACATTAAAGCATCACACACATCCTCAGTGCATCTGCATTTTGGAATTCTGGACATATTTCTGTTCTTGAATAACTGGAGCCAAGAACAAAACTGATTATCTTTGCTTATTCTTTGCTATATAGGGGAAGTCTCACATTTTTCAAAATGAAAAGGAATTATGACAATGGCCCACAAATTCATGCATAGTAATGAGAAGGTGAATGGGAGTTTTTAGAGAAATGGCAGAAAAAAGAACTAAAAGTACAATGAAATCATCGGTTAACATGTTTGTTGGGGTTGGGATTTTTTTTGTGTCATTGTTTCTCTTAGACATTACAATTAAAATACAGAATTCTTCACCACAGATCACTGCAGAGACCAGGGTAAATGGCTTCAAAAGGGACCAGAGAGTCAATGAAGGCTAGACCTCCTAATAGCTAGGTGATTCAGATACAAACTAGCTCAAGGTGGCAACAAGTGTACAGCCAGAAAGCAAGAGACTAAAGTAAGGAAGTATCTATCATTCCACATCTTCCTGCTGCGTAATGCTCGCTCTGAGCGGTCACAGCAGAGTGCTGTAAGAGACAAAATATGGGGCTAAATGGACCTTTGATCTTACCCAAAGATGTGGTTTTTAGGCTTTAAAGCAGATTCTATGGAACAGAACTTAAATTGTTGCCATGTTTTTATGGGGCACCAAAACAACTACCAGATTCACAGAAGTCTGAGATCAACTAGAGGCTGCTGCTGATCAAAAGCACATCCCCAGCTTTGTAGACATGTTCTACTGAGAGCATCGGTGTTAGCAAGGTACACTGCTTGATCCAGAACAGCAACAGTGTCCTACACTAAGGGAAAAGAACAGATTTTACCCACCTCAAACCAATCCTCCCACCCTTCCTCAAAGGGATGAATACTAGTTCTTCATGCTGGTATGAGATCAGAGCTCGTCTCTCATGAGCAGTTGCTGGAGCAGCACAGATCTGACAGCCGAAGCTTTGTACAGGACCCATACATAAGCAGTATAAGGCTGAAGCACACTTGCTTCCAGACTGTGCAAAAATACCACAGCCAACATATTTTTTGCAACTCACCTGTGTGTAGAAGCCACTAGCTGCCTCTAAGAACAGAGAGAGGTTCGCCTGAACTTCGCTCCGATTTGGATTTGCTCTATTTTTCGCTTGACCCTGTAGCGTCGTGATCTGATTTTTAAAGGCATGATTCCAACTGAAAACAAAAGAAGCGTTTTCCTTTTTTACTTTGGAAGTGCCTTATGCAGATAGCATAAGCAATAGGAAAGAACTGTTTAATTACATAGCATCAGACATGAAAATGAATGATATTCAGACAACATTCTGATTAGAAATAACTTTAAATATGGAAGAATTACCTTTCCCCACCTCTCATAACTAGAGAAACCAATCCTAATATCGGACAGCTAACACCATTAGTATTTGCTTGTAATTGTTTTGTTTCAGGCAGCATAGCTCTCTTCTGAAAACAGGATATAGGGTATAGAAATTTGAGTTACTCCAGCATCTGGAGGCATGGACAGCACAACTCAGCCAGCCTACTCGTCTTATTTCCCTCAGCGCACCAGAAGAACCACATGCTTCTCAACTAAACCTTTTACAACCCATGTCTGCATCTTAAATAACAGGGAATGGACTTAGGGCACAGAGAAAACCCAGCAGGATCTTTCCTGGATTCCCCTGACGCCATGAGCACCCCCGTAAATTTCTCTCCTGATACTTCTCCCTCTGCCCAGCCCTACCTCAGAGGGCTTAAAGTGAGGGTCTCCTGTTAGACCTTGTTCAAAGCTCCAGGTGATTGCATCAGGTAAATTCCCTCCTTTCTGGAAACTCCAAACTTCAGCCCCTTCCCTGACAGCATAGAAGACTGATGTTTCTTAGCTCTCTCCCTTCCATCTGGCTCACCAAACCCCACTCCTGCATGACATGGCTGCTCCTAATTACCAGAGGTAAAATACTGACCTGTTGAATGCTCTTCATCAATTCTGCAGTGCATCCTCATGTTTCACCCACAGCACAGCTCTCATTTTAAAGGAAATAAGACAACCACTTCATAGGATACAATCGCTTTTCTGGAAGTCTCAGGGTTTACTGCTCATCAGCTCAGATTACATATATACATAAGAATTTATTGAGATACTTACAGGTCCTGCTCCACTTTTTTATCTAAAGCATATTCCAAATCGGTCACTAGCATTTTCTGATATAAGTCCTGTAGAGCCTGTCTGGACGTCCAGACTTCTGCTGGACCCAGCTTCGAATCTGAGCAACAAAAAACAAAGACACAACAGTTTTTGTAATACTCAAACTTACGAGTTATTCCAACTGATTTTTTTACTCACCTAGCAAAGGAAAGAATACAGTACAGTGTAAGATATCCAATGCCAAACACCCGCTTTTATCACAGATTCATCAGAACAGTGAAATACAAGAACTACAGAGGGACTGAGGATTAACTGATCACTGATTAACTGATCAGTCTCCTACAACACCAGAACTAGACATGAGCAAAGTCAGCAGCTGGCAAGTTAAAAAAAAAACAAAACAAAACAGACAGGAGGAGGTGATTCTCCAGAAGTCATTAAGCTGCAGAACTTCTTGCCACTGGATGAATTTAGAAAAATTTCCAGAGTAGCCTGAAAAAATCTGCATAAAAGAAATCCATCAAGGGATGCTAAACAGGACAGTCCCTGGAGCTAGCACTGTTGGTATTTAGGAGAACACTGCGGGCAAGTACTACTGCATGCTTGCCATTTTCTAACTCTTTGGTAGCCATCTGCTTTCCATCACTGAGGGTGAATGCAAACACTGCTCCCTGCTATCACAAGTTACAGAATCCAATTTCCCATGCCTTGTAACATCACCTGAGCTGGGGCTGCGAGAGCACAAGGGATGGGCCTCGCTCCAGGGAAACCATTCTGCTGATGGTGTAGCCACTCCTGCTAGGTTAGATGGATCCAGGTAGTTACAGTGTTCCTACGGGGACTACATCAACCTGCTATGTGTACTACGCCAAGGTGGGAAGCATGGCTGAGCATAGGTTCATTATGTGAGCTGCTTGTACTGTGTGGCTGATATGTTAATATACACCATTTATATTTTCCATAAATACATACAGCTTTAAACACAGCTTGTAGCATCTACGGGTTGCCCTTTCATAACACACATGGTAGCACTCAGACCAACATTTCTGTCACCCGGGTTTCTCAAAACCAGCCAGATCCTTTCCCCATTGCTAAACCCAAGTACAGCAGTTCCTGTGACAGGTTGGACAGCACTTGCTTTCTCTTCCCCAAAGGGAGAACACTATGGGAAAGGACTAAGGGCATGATCTCCACCTCCAAATGCTCTAAAGCACCCAAAGTCAACTTTAAATATATATGTATTCTAGGTACAGGAAAGAGAGGCACACTTGTTAAAATACTATTTATTTATATACAGAGGACAAACCTTTAACATAACATCACATGCTTTCCAGAGAATTCTTAGGAACAATGAGCATAAGGAACACACAAAAGGAAAACAAAACCAGGAATCAAGTATTGGCAGCTAGATCAACTGTATAATAAAGGCAACTACCTGTCATGTCAGCCTTCAGGACTTCTGCCTGCCTGTAAGAAAGCAATAAAACAATAAATTAGAAATGGACTGATCAAAATAATTGAACCATGCTAAAGCACATGCATGCAACAATGAGTAGAGAAAGTAGGGCCAGCTCCGTAGAGGCTGCCTACAACCTACGGTTTATCCCATACAGTATGGATTTGAGCTACTGTTGTTCAACAGTATGAGTTCTTCTAATTCACAGCACAACAAAAGTCAACTATTCACTTTTCCCTGCTTAGCTTAAGCCTCTTTCAGAAAAAATACAAACTAAAAATGCTTACACTGTATTTTAAGCTTTACCTGGCAGCAGTGTCTTGCCAACATTAGTGATACCTGCTTACCTGTAACTGGGAATTTGATATCAACTTTAAGTTGTCACACGTGAAATGCAGTAGCCAACATAGAGCAAAGCAAACTCCCACTGGTGCCTGTCAGCACGTTGCTATAGCCCTCCTGCCCCTCCATGCTGCACTAGCATTCCTTAAGGAGAGGTGATAAAAATGGCTTCCCCAACTACCTCTCTTCCTTGCACTGCCTCCCTGAAGCCATGGTTTGATCAGGTTTTCAAGAAAAAAAACCCAACATACAGAACATACAGAAAGAATGGCAACTACAGGTGACCAACTACCACTCCTTTGCTGAACATCCTCTGCAAATCCCACTGCTGGTGGAGGCTGGCAGACAGTTTCTCAAATAAAGGAACACTGGGACACAGTCCTCACTAAATAAATACTTATGAATGGTCATCAATGGCTAGATGGAGCAGGCAATCGAGATGCTACGGTTAAACGCTGTCAGCAGTACATAAAACTTCAAGGGGCAGCACTGCTGTCCTGTCTGACCAACACAGAATTAACACAGGGCAGACAGAGGCAGAAGGGATACAAGTCTGCCTGGTTTGGCTGGGTTTTGGTGGAACATTTTGCTTTCCTTTTGCTACACTCAAATGTTTACATGTATTTGCAAAGAGTGCAAGCTTTCCATACCAGTCACGGAATCCTCCTAGCATACGAAATACCCACTTCAACCTGCCTCCCTCAGCAAAAAAACTAGATGGAAGTCACACCATGACTAACATGAAAGTCAGATGCCAGCTTGGGAAAGAATGGAGAGCCAGGAGAAAGCACCACCTAATCCCTAAAGACGCTTCAGAAATAAGTATATACTCTCTTGCCAAAGTGAAGTTGTGGTAACTGTAAAAATAGTTTTTCAGGTTGTTCTGGGTTCTACCTACTGGCCACAAATTATAGGGAAGGTTTTGACATCCACATCAGGATTAAAAAGATATCGTAATAGCTCCAGTGCTTCACTAGGAAGATGTATATCGGTAAGTCCCTTCACAAAGTTTCTATTTATTGAATGCAAGAATTATCTGTAGCAACTCACCATAGTCACCACAGTGTACCATCCAAGAAGCAATGGGATGCTCCAAGGGCTTTAATTAAGTTAAGAATATCTTAACTGGTGCCAGAAGTAAACCTCTATGTTCCTCACTTGCTTCAGAAATTTAATCTATTTAAGATAACTTTTTTTAGTTTATTTCTTTCAAGAAGGCGTTAATACATTTTTTCAATTCCTAATAACAGAGTACACTGGAAGGAGAGATAACCTATTACTACTGATGGACAAGCAAGGAAAATTTTAGGTATTGTGTCATGAGAAAGCCCAAGAAACATTTCTGCCTCGTCCACATGGAGGTAAGGAAAGGTGCCTCAGCAATGCCCTCCCCATCGCTGCAGCTAGCAGCATGGGAAAGAGCAGATCTTTTCCCCCACACAGCTAAGAAGAGCCAACGAAGGATGGCAATCTCCTCTGCGTGCTGCGCCTCGGGAGCCTCTGCGACGCTGACCTGCAAGTCTAGTCAAGCACAAAGCTGAGCAAATTCTGCAGTGCTATGACTTGGCAGCTAGAAATGCCACTGCTCAGAAGGAAAAGCTGACTTGCTCAGGTGCAGAAGTCTCTCTTTTTTGAACGGCCAGCCAAGTTAATGCAGTTTGGCTCACACTTTAAACACCTGCCAGTTGTGCAAACTTTTTCTTTGAGCTGAGAACATGATCTGTGTTGCCAAAGCCATGAATCCTACTGAGAGGCTCAGCCCGAGCGGGACACACAGCACTGCTCCAGCAAACACGAGCCCAAAATTCTCCCCCAGGCAAAAAGGTTCTGCCCTTTTAAAGCCAAGAACTGCTCCTCTGAAAATTACTTGTGCAGAACTACCATCCACTAATCCTTTAAGGGGGAAATACAAACAGCACCATTGTAAAGGCTTTCTTTTCATGAAGTTTTGACCAGCTGTTTCCTGGAGCCTCAACCCCTACATCAGTGCAACTGCTGACAGATGCTCTGTAAATGCATAGCCCTAACAATATTGCTGGACCTGAACTCTTACCAAAAAGACTTTTTTTTTTTTTAGAACACCTTTTTTCAAAGGCAATACTAATGGGCTTACAGAACGAGAGCTTTAGCACCAATCTCTTCACTAGCCATAAAGCAAACTGCCTTTTATATTTTATAAGCTTGCAACAAGCTACACTAAGGGGATTATCACTATAATTTTTAATAAAATGTATAGAAGTTATTTCAATACTTCCTAGAGGCCAAAGGAATTAAAGTAGGTCTAACATTAGCACGCTCTGTTTCCACCTAAAACCAACTTTTACTTAAAACAGCTGCACATACCATGGCTAAGCCAGGATGAGGAAGGGCAGCCTGGATACCAAACTTGTTCTGCATCAGTGGCAAAATATTAGCACCTCGAGAAAAGATGCATTGCCTGTTCCTTGAACAGACTTCACTGAAGAGCCTTTGCTGGTGCTCAGAGACTCCTAGTGGGCACACATCGGAGTTCACTGATAACAGCAAGACTTTCTGACAGTGCAAATGGCTCCTTATATTGTAAAGCACCTTTTAGCAAGCCTTTTTGTCCATATATTTTCTTGCACCAACTCATATTGAATTTGCATTAGAATGACTCATTCTGGTGCAAAAATACATTGCCTGCCAGCAAACTTGGTACAACCTTGCTTACACATTTTAGCATTTCGAGAATATTCTCAAGTACCTCCTTGCCCAGTTGGCCTCAGCAGTTCAGTCTTCAAGTCAAGTTTCCTGGAGTTCGTGGGTCCAAAGCCAAATAAGCACAAACTGTAGCTCAAAAATTGTATTTCAAGTACCTCTGTTAGATGATATCTCATCTTGGTATATTGTTATAGCTATTCTTTATAATTTCCTAACCAAATATAAATTCAGCCCATGCTTTAGTTCAACTCAAAACTCAAATACAAAAGCCTTCCACTCAATTCGGAGATAGTTTGACAGCAAAAGGAATTTTCATTTTATTCGAATACTTGAAAAGTTTCAAAACTTCAAAAGACAGTAGTCAGGACTCTCTTCTGAAGTTCTGAAGGCATAGCATATATTAAAATTTAAGTAGCCACAGATGGCAAAGGAAACTTTTCTTCTCTTAAGAACCTGGCAGTATATGAAGTCCAGTTTTGCTGTAACTCAGGGGAACTCAAGACACTATGTTTAGCCTGAAATGAACCACCAGATTTAGCAAAGGAAGACAAGACAGACGCATTTCGTTTGTCC